TTATGTATTTGTATTCGGGCTCCTCGTTTGTATCACCAGAGGGCTTCTCGTTTCTATCTCCCATGTACATTTATATAGGTCTTTGTATCAATGAATCAAGCAGGCATTTCAGATCCAAAATTCTACAACCGGATTATTTAATATGAACACTGGATTACTAACACGGAGAATATAAAAAATGAGAACAGAAAAATGGATAACTGAATTCGTACAAATGAGAAATCAATTTTGAATACTCCGTATATTATATATTAACAAAAATAAAAGTTACACTATCATTAGTTTTTGAGTCAATACTAATTAAAAAAAATTGCGGAGTATTAGTGAATTCCAATATACGAAGATTTTTCAAAGTTGGCAAACTACAGATTCCATCAGGGTGGGTGGGATATATTCAAGTGTTTACCAATCGGGCAATGCTAGGGTACACCAACATGGGTACCCTAAATGTACACCAAGCTAACACAGACACACAAACACAAAATGTCTGTGCAACACAGTGTCTGTGTGTGTCTGTGTTTGCTTTGGTGTACACTTAGGGTACCCCATGTTGGTGTACCCCTAGCTTAATTCTTACCAATCACTTGGTAGTTGGGACGGCCAAGTGTCATTGACTTCCGCCACACAGATATTATACGGAATATAATGAGAAAAGTTAAATAAAAAAGCTAAAACAATGTGTACACCAAGTTTTGTAAATTTTGTACAAAGACTTTAATAGTTCATTCTGCTTGGGATTGAGAATTTTTGAATTGACATTCTATACGAGTGTGAAATATTAAAGTGTTAGTACATAGCTTTACGGTGTAAATGGTATACACATAGCATACATCAGGAGTTCAGGATAAAACCCTATTAACTTTGATATGATGAATTTGACACCAAGTATTTTATAGACATATGAAAAAAATAATTGTTTGAACATCACAAAAAATAATGTATATATGTTCATAAAATATTTGGTCTCAAACTCTTGGAATCAAAATTGATGGGCTTTTAGCATGACTCACCAACATTTACAAATAAAAATGACACAATATTTACAAATTTAGTATTAATGTTAATCTTATTAAAAGAATAAAATGGTGACACATAATTAGAAAGTGAAAATTTAAATTTACGAACAAGTTTCTGAAATCGGCGGTGTCATTTTATATTGTTACTTTAGTACTATCTCTATCCCTGAGTATTCGTCTAATTGTGATTTATTTCAATTAATTATTTTCAATCTTTGACGTATAATTAAATAAAATATATATTGTATATTAATTAGATAAAATAATGTTTTGAGAATATTTTATATAATAAATCTAATAAAACTATTTTTGTATCAATATCCAATATCATTCTTATATAATTTGAAGTCAAAAATTATAAATCTTGACTAAAAATAAAAAAAATAGATAACTACTAGAGGGAGTATTTCTTACTCCCTTCGTCCCATTTTATAAAGTTTGTTTTGGTTTACGATGTTTGATTGAAATTATTTTCAAATCATTTTACATGACAAATGGTATAAAGTTAAAAAATAAAAATTACATATGAAAATAATACATCAAAAGATATACAAAACTAGTAGTGACAATAGTACTTCATTTTATCAAATTGCTAAAGAAAATAGAGGAAGAAAGTGAATAAAGTTTGACTCTGTAAATAGTAAGCATGATTTGGGATGGAGGGAGTATTACATTAATACTCTCTCTGTCTGAAAATATTATTTTATCAGGAAAACGTGAAAAATCTCTATATATATATATATATATATATATATATATATATATATATATATATATATATATATATATATATATATATATATATATATATATATATATACGGTAAGTCTAAAATGACACCAGTGCTACTGGTGTCATTTACTTACACCAATTCGTTTGGGGTACCTTTGGTGCTCCGTTTGTAAAAATAATGATTCCTACCCTCCCTAAACCCCTCACCCCAGCCCCACCCTTGCCCCCCTCCCCCCACCCAAGCCCCCCCTCCCGCCCCCCTCCCTACCCTAGTAGTATACTGCAAGGCATTATACTGCTAGGGTAGGGAGGGGGTGGGAGGGGGTTGGGGTGGGGGGTTTAGGAGGAGGGTTAGGGGGGTAGAAACCGTCATTTTTACAAACAGAGCATCATATGTAACCAAAACGAATTGGTGTAAGCAAGTGGTGTATAAGTAACTGATGTCATTTTAGACGCTCTCTATATATACAAAGACTTATACTGCCAATAAAATACCAATACCAAAACACACTACTCCGTATACGGTGTCAACAATTTTGCTTATGTAAAATTCACTCTTAAAATAGAAATCTATAGACATTTTTTTTGTTTAGGGCGTGTTGATGAATAGCTCAACGACAAAATTTATTTGTTGTGTTTCGTGTTTGATATAAAAAGGGGAAAGCGTCGTGAAAGAAGATTTTTCAAAGTTTTAGATATGCTTCACTCTCGTCAAAACTATGTATACCGACAAGTGTTATATGCACTTCACCATCCATCGTCAAATTTATGCATACCGACCGGCCAATGAAATATGCCTTTGAATGAAGTTAACGAATAAAAACTCCGGCCAAACAAATCGATCGCATTGGATTTGATACTAAATAGTACTCCCTCCGTCAATGTAAGATCTTCCCATTATGCGTTACGAGGCTTGACCAACTTTATTTTCAATTCAATTTAATTCATTATAGGAGTAAAATTATAAAATAAAATTTATATAGTAGTAAACAACATGAAAAGTTCTACAAAACTAGAGGTGACAAGACTATATTATTTTATGAAATGACTAGTAAAAATGAGCAAACAAAGTGATTAAAGTTTGACCCTATGAATAGTGTCTGGGAAGATCTATGGTGGACAGATGGAGTACTAAAATATACTCCCTCCGTCCCATGAAACATGGGATGTTTTGCTTTTTGAAGAGATTTAAGGGAGTGTATTTTGGTATTGAATTTCCAAAAAGATCCTTTGATGTAATGGGTAAAAGTAGAATTTGATGGGTAGATTATTAGTAAAAAGGTAAGATGTGATAGGTAGGGTGTGAAAAAGTAAGGAGTAAAAGTGACTTTTTAATAGAAATGAGAAGTGTTTTATGGGACGGATGAAAAAAAAAAGGAGAAAGATTTTATGGGACGGAGGGAGTATGTTCTTTTCCAATGTAATATTTTAACTTTTTTATTCTCGAAATAGTATTTCAACAATGTCTAGTGGCGAGAAATATTATCCAGTGATAGTGGATGTTTAGTTGGCGCTGGAAATTTATTTGAACAATGACTACTAGATATTAAATAATGGTACTATATTAGAAATAAAAACATATGATACGGAGTATTGCATTAGAAAAGTAATTATGCTTTAGGACCATTTAGATAAATTCTCACTTAAAATAAGCTCCAAATGTGTATTTAAGTAAATATAGAAATGTTTGTCGTTTCACACTTTAAATCATTTAATATAACTTTGACCTTTTCACAAATTTATATATTTCCAAATACCTCAAAAAATTTTGACTACACCATTGATTCCATGCTTTGCGTAGATATACACACATACAATAACTGTCGATGTTGTACCCAACAATTATTTTTTGTGCTTAACATATGGTTAATATACAGTAGTTTCGGCCTTGTTTAGTATCATGTTAGATGTTAACGTTTTGAAAAAGCTATATAACGATTGTCTTGTCATTTTCAAAATCAAGTAACACCATTAAAATTTTATAAAAAACATTGTTTTCGAACAAGACTTTCAAATGTTTTGGTTAACCTTAACACAACCAAAAAAATGTTCGGATTCGAATTGATACAGTACTCCATAATTCCCAAGACCAAGACCACAAATATTATTTCATACTACGTGTTATCTTCCCTCTCATAGAATCCTTCAACGTATTACGTATATGTCCCCTCCGAAGTTGTCTCTGATCTATAAATACAATACAATACCCAATTTTTTAAGTTCTTAATTTTAAACACTGAATTCTTCTTCTCTATTTGCCAAGACAAAAAAAAAACAGGGGAGCTCTAACTCCTCTAAGAACACTTCTTCGATCGTGAAGATGATGGCCACAAGGATCGAATTTGTGGCGTTTGCGGTGTTCCTAGCCGCCGTCACAGTGATGACGTCGATGGGTAAAGCTAACGCCGCCGTTCATATTGTCGGCGGTGCCGGGGGCTGGACGGAGCCTAGTGGTGGCGCCTCCTGATGGTGTAAATTATCTACCGGTATATCATTTTAACCCGGCAAAAACGATAAACTAGTCTAAAAAATACACCAAATTATAAACACGGGGATTTTGACGTGGAAACCCAAATCGGGAGAAAACCACGGGCCTTTTTTGGCGGTACCTTGCCAACGGGGGATTTTTTATTAATATCGGGGGTTGTACAAGGTACATGAATTGGGCTCGGAAGCCATTAATGAAAGCTTGAAGCTTCTTTAAAGAAATAATTAAAGTGTACAATCTACAATATTCTAGAGAGAGAAAGAGTGTTTGGGCAGGAGAATAAGAGAGGAAAATGGTCTCCCTTAACATCGAGGGGAGCCCTCCTTAGGGGAGGAAGGGAAGCATATTCGGGGAATATTCTCTTATTCCTCCATTTTATTAAACAGGTCTGGTTTAATTGTTCTTCGTAAATAATTGGAAAATGTGGGCCGAGCCACGTATCATTTCCATCAAGAAGTCCTCCACTTTTTTTAGTTGTAGGAATCATCAATTTAAAAAAGTAAATAAGTCCTCCGAGTGTAATCTTCAGTCTTCGTACTTTGAATTCTTGACCGGTAGATATTATTGCTAGTCCTCCGAGTCTTCATTAATTCTCTAATTTCTTGAATCAGAAGTTTTTCCTGCAAAAAATAATTTGTACAACATTTTTTTTGACCGGCTTATGCCGTGCTCAAAAAATTATTATTTTTACTGAGGAGCTCGGTGTTAGGTGATTAAGATTCACGCGAATAATTATCGTAACGAGAGCGATGTCAGTTCGATAAAGCAACGATGCTTCGAAAAGTTATTTCGTCGAGGTCGGTGTTAATACGAGTCAAGCAAACGATGCGTGACGAAATTAGTATACCGATGACAACGACCTTAGTTAATAAGAATTGAATCCGATGCGGTAGCTTTGTTGAAGATCAGTGTTAGCCTGGCTGACTCATGTAAATATTTTCATGTCTTGCGGAGACCATCTTCGATCAAAGTGCCTTAGATTGAGGGCTTAAATGAATCGGGCGTCCCCGATATGAGCTTTGCTCACTTTTTTGCTGAAACTGATGTGCAATCGGTGTACCCAATTCGATTGGGCTCAGGCTTATTGGAAAATATGTGTAAGACTGGTGTGAGATCAGTGTACCAGTTCGACTGGGTCACATATTTTCTTTATTATACTGAGCAAGACCGGTGTAGTAACCAGCGTGTCAGGCCAGGCCTGTGTCTCAGTCTTCCAATAAGATAATGCTGCTGGCCAGGCCAGGTCAACATTGGAGAATTAACCATGTCGGATGGTTTCGAGCCCTCTCCAAGGCCCAAAATGCACCCTTCTTCCAGGGCCCCCTCTTCCGGGTGATTAAGTCTTTTAATGGCCCTTTGA